GGGGCAATGTCCAACGGCTGCCCACAGAGGAGGAGCGACAGCGACCTGGTGGTATTGGTGTAAGCTACTCCTCAGTTCTCTAATAATACTATTTTTCTTCTAACTAGGTTCTCAGCTTTACTATCACTTCGACTATGTTGGTAGACCCAAGAGCTGGAAATGGCAAAACAACAACAATCTGGTTAGTCGCCTGGTATCTCATTCAAGGAAACTATTGTCTAAACCTCTATAGCCCAAGGTATACAAGGAGCTGTCACAAGCCTACGAGCGTGGAGCCGACAGAGTTTGGGTCATCAATGTTGGCGACATCAAGCCTATGGAAATTCCTCTCTCATTCGCCCTGGATCTTGCGTGGAATGCGTCCCGGTTCGATTTTGACACCATTCCCTTATACCTCAAAGCTCTAGCCACGCGAGATTTTGGTGATAAGTACTCCGACCAGATTTCATCGGCTTTGATGGAATATAGCCACCTAGCGGGTCTGCGCAAATTTGAAATGCTGGAACCAACGACATATTCCATCCTCAACTTCCGAGAGGCCGAGCAGGTGCTCGATCAGTGGAGAAAGCTGGCCGAGAAAGCACAAAACATTCAGCATTCCTTACCTATCGAGCGCCACGATGCCTGCTATCATCTCCTAACTTATCCCGTGACAGCGGGATTCAACTACTACCAGATAATGCTTGGCCAGGGCAAAAACCGCCAATACAGCTTCGAACGCCGTAACTCAGCCAACATGGTAGCGGGAGAGGTACTAGAGTACTTTGAGGAAGATTATGACTTGACATTGGAGTATGACAACCTTGCAGATGGCAAATGGGAGGGCATCATGTCGACACCCAAGTTTGATATGGGCATTGCAGACTGGCGTCCCTCATCACGCGACGTCGTCGCAAATCTATCGTATGTGCAGCTACGACAGAACTTCGATTACGCGTTTGGCAACCTGGGTATCTACGTCGAGCAGTCGCTTAGTGCTTATCGCCAAGGTCGGATCTGTGGGTCTATCAATCCTTCCCTACCAACTGAGGAAGGCTTTTCACCAGTACTCCCGCTTATGGATCCCTACGGTCCAAATTCACGGCTCATTGAGCTCTTCCATCGTGGCGACCATCGCAAGCCGTTCAAATGGTCTATCTCGACACCCTATTCATGGATTCAGGTCTCCCAGACATCAGGCATACTCTCGAAAGAACACCCCGAGGAGTACCTCGAAGTCTCGATCGACTGGACCGCCGTCCCAACCAACTTTACCGAGACAATTCAGCTACGTGTAGAATGGGAACCGTCTCCTCCGTATTTTGATCTAATCCACATCCCAATCCGCAACCACCGCGTCCCGACCAACTTCACCGGGTTCCCTGAGTCAGGCAGCTTCGTTTCCATCGAAGGCCAACATTTCCAACGCTTCTCATCGGATACTGTATCTTTCAAACATATTCCGTATCTAGGGTCGCGAGCTCGGTCCGGATCCATCGCACTCCGGCCGTACATGCAAGCTCGAGAATCTGAAGAAAATGCAAAGTCAGCGTGGGTTGAGTACGATTTCTATCTCTTCAACTCGACTAAATCATTCAATGCGACTGTATACGTCAATGGCGCCCTGGACACGGATCCAAACCTACCGATGAAATTCTCGTTATCAATCGATGGTCAAGAGGCGAACTTCACAAGACTACTGGGTGAGCCTCAAGAGGCGGGGGATACGCCTCCTGGATGGACCGAGGCAGTGGCGGACCATGTTTGGACGAGGAATATTGAGATTGCAGCTCTTGAACAGGGTCTGCATACACTCAAGTGGAGGGTGAATTCGCCAGAGGTATATCTGGAGAAGATTGTTCTTGCGCTAGAAGGGCATTTGGATAGCTATCTCGGCCCACCAGAGAGTGCACTAGTGGGTTGAGCCTGGGAGGCTTCATGTAATTTGTCGAATTTGTGTAGTTACGATGCAGAAGACTCTAGTGGTGTTGGGGAGAGAAAGCCCTGAATCACGGCCTTTGAGCTGGCAGTGGTATGACCAGCTCGGCAGCCGGACTAAAGGATGCAGCACCCCAGATAGTCGACTAGTCTGTCGGTAAACTTCTATAAACTTCGGGCGATCCAGTACCGAAGCAAATTCTTTGCATCATCATTCCCTACATTCGTAGCCAAGTCTCATACACACGGCGCCTTGGCAAGGAATATTCCACAAATGGGAGACCAAATAGTCAGCTCGGCTTGTGGGATTTCTTACATTCAAGGATCGAGCTCCTATACGCGCCTCCACCTCCGCATAATTCCCCGCATGTTTGATAATGTAGTCTCCGGAGTGAGCTACCCCGTATACACGGTCCTCGGGCTGTAGATGCCCACCACCCGAAGCTGTTATATTTTCTATCTTTAAATTGAACCAGCTACGCGTCTAATCAACGATAACCGAGTAGTATACAAAGTCAACCTTTGTGCTACCAATAAATACACAAACAAAAATGCTCCTCCCTTCACGGAAGGCATTGTCCTTCCTAGCTTGCCTCGCAAGCCATTCCACAGCACTCCTAACAACATCCGAGAACTCTACACACTTCAATCTCGCCAATGACCGCTTCGCCATCGCTTTGGCTAAATCTAACGGTCATATCGTTGACGTCCTACTAGACAACCAAGATTTACTTGGACCAGTAGACGGCAACACCGGAAAGGGTCCATATCTGGACTGTTCATGTATCCCGTCGGGCTTCTGGACACCAGGTAGCGGCGCTACGTTGGAGCTCATCAACGGCACAGATTCGACCGGCACGTCGTATGGCGGCGTTTACATGACCGCTACATATGAAGAAACCAACCAAACATTATCGCAGTGGTTCTTCCTCCGGGGCGAAGAGACAGGACTCCATGCATTTTCCCGAGTTACGTATTTCAACGAGACTACACCTTTTCTACGGAGTCTTGGGGAATTGCGTACACTCTTTAGGCCAAACACCGACCTCTGGACACACTTCTCCACTAGCGAGGGTAATTATGGGCCAGTACCCCTTGACAGCACTTACGACAATGGGTTGGTAGTCCAGGACGCGACAACTTACATGGGGAACATTACCGATGATCCTTATGTCTCTGAATATTCTGATTACTTTACAAAATACAGTCTGGCAGAGAGCTGGCGCAACCACGATGTCCATGGACTGTTTGGTGACGGCTCATCTAGTTCTGACGGAAGCACATTCGGTGCTTGGCTAGTTCATAACACCGTTGAGACGTACTATGGAGGTCCACTCCATTCAGACCTCGTTGTCGATGGGATTGTGTATAATTATTTGGTCTCCGGTCACCATGGTGCACCTATGCCAAACCTCACGCATGGGTTTGACCGCACTTGGGGACCTCAGTTCTACTACTTTAACCGGGGAGATTCGGAGACGACATTGGGCGAGTTGAGGGCTGATGCCGCAAAGTACGCTGATCCGGAATGGAACGCGGAGTTTTATGATACTATTTCGAAGCATATCCCGAATTTCACCCCGTCTTCTGGGAGGACCACATTCAAGGGGAAGGTGTCGCTGCCCGAAGGCGCAAAGAGGCCGATAATTGTGCTTTCCGAGGATGGACAAGACTTCCAGCTGAATGTTTTCAACACGGAGTCTCTGCAGTACTGGGCTGAGGTGGACGAGTCCGGAACTTTTACCATCCCCCGTGTTGTGGAAGGGACATACCGAATAACTATCTACGCTGACGAGATCTTCGGGTGGTTTATCCAAGACCACGTCACAGTTTCAAAATCGCAGTCCGAAGAGCACAGCTTCATCTGGGAAGAGGAAAGCGCAGGCAAAGAGATCTGGCGTATCGGTGTGCCGGATAAGTCATCCGGAGAGTACCTTCACGGCTACGCCCTGGATACTTCCAAACCGCTGCAACCAGAACAATACCGCATATATTGGGGAAAATACGACTATCCAGGTGACTTCCCCGAGGGTATCAACTTCCACGTCGGAGAGAGTGACCCATCTCAAGACCTCAATTACATCCACTGGGCATTCTTCCCCTCTCAGGGAAATCATCTTCGCACAGAGCCATACTACAACAATGTCAACAACTGGACGGTGACATTCGACTTAACGGCAGATCAGCTCGGCAGCACGAGCACGGCAACGTTCACTGTGCAGATTGCAGGTGCGAAGACCGCAAATGGTAACTCGAAGTGGACGCCCGTTGAGGGGAAGTATAGCAACCTTCCGTGGACGGTCAATGTGAATGGACGGTATGAGTCCACATGGGTGATCCCATACTGGCGGAGTGGGTCATGCGGTGTGCGCAGTGCTGTTTCCTGTCAGAATATAGAGCAGAAGTTTGTGTTTCCAGTGGAGAATCTCCAACAAGGGAAGAATGAGTTTGTTCTGAGTTTGCCGTTCAATGCGTCGAGTACGGAGACTGCGTTACTGCCGGATTCACTTTATGTGCAGTACGATGCATTGAGGTTGGAGTTGGATTGATGGAAGAATGTATATTATCAACGCTAGTACACAGGGTCGGCGAAGCCAGGAGGTTGGTTCTTTTAGGGCTTCCGATAGTGGCTCTTTATTGCGTTTGAGATTAGGTTCTAGGCCGGCCCGTTTGCGGAAATCATAGCAGCCAATTTAAGCATCCGTTGAAAGAAGCTTATTCAAGAACGTCAGGAGACTAAAGATCGCCAATAGGACAAAGGGAAACCGGTAGCATGACGCAACTCGATACAGTACCAGCAGCTCATTTTTTGTGGGGCCGATAGGGCCCCCGCAGGGATGATCTGAAGCTAGGGCTACTGCCAAGGGTTTTGTGTTTGTCATATCGAAAGGGTCTACATTGACTATTAACTTGTCAATAATAAAATGACAAAATAATCAATATTACTTTTTGTATTAATATTAATATTACTATCGTTATGAATATTTCCCGAAGTAAAACATCTCAATAACAAGTAGCCTAATCTTTAATATCACGCCACATAGTGCTCACTATGTTTCAATTAATGTATCCGTAGAAGGTACTCCTGCTAGAAGTATAGTAAACATAATTGTCCTGATATGTACAAATATAATGAAATCGGTCAAGCAAACAACATAGCGCACATGTATACATTTTCATAACTAACCGCGCGTAGCTTACCAAAGCTGGTCGATCACAGTGAAAAGCCAACTCAAATATGCAACCCCTCCAACGATACCACCTTCATCTGTTAGTATATCTGTTGCAGATTTTCCCTGTACTGTTTTAAATGATTGCACATATGGCGTAGCATATCTAATCAGGGTCTGAGATATGCATGCTTCTTTTTCGTTCGCATCACAAGCGGTATAGTTATAGCCACCAGTTGATGATAACAAAGTTTCAAACTGGTAAACCTGGCGACCAAGTTCTGCACAGTCACTATTACTGCTGTTTACATGAAGGACATTCAGTGCATCATCGTAAAATGAAGCAGTAATGGCGAAGGAGTTGGAGCCAATGGCTGGCATCTCCCTCAACGTGATGAGACCACATTCGAGGCCCTTCTCGAAGTTTAGATTAGAGTCGAAGATAGAATAATAGTAATAGGGAAGCTGCGGTGCTATTGTGTTGTAATGGTATTTAATCGAAGCGGAATCCCCTTATATCAAGTTAGCTTTTGCATTGATTCCTCACGGGCGACATTCTTACAGCTTGTGAAAATCTGAAATATATGCTTTTGTGACAAGTTGCTATATTCCTCCCCAGTCGAATTGGGCTGATACAACAAATACCATAATTGGCCATATGTACTTGAATTGAATGACTTTATAGCATCGGAAAAGTTCGTGGGGCAGCTCTTATCATATTCTGGCCAAAAGCACTTCGTAAGTACACCGCTGTGGGGTGTCCTGCGGAACTGGGCAAATGCTGCGTCGCCATAACCTATAGCAACTACAAATGCTGGCGCCGGTAAGGTGTCTGGATGTGTCACATCCACCTCGAACTTCCAAGCTGTGCGACGATGAACCGCCACATTATCATAGTAGATCCATACCATCGCGAAAGCTATCAGCCCGAGGATAATACCTAGGCGCGGTGCTAAGCTTTCTGCAAGACGTCAGCTGTACCACTAACCCACGGAGTTTACATACGTCGCTCGATGACGTTCAGTTCCCGTAGAATCACCCCTGTAAAGGGCAGAACGAAGGTGAAGATGATCAGTAGGATACCACAGACGATAGGTATCCAGGAATTCTTCTGAACATCCTGATCCTGGTCGTTTCTAAGTACCGCATTCGTATTGATCGAGAGATATATTAAACCCATTAGCAATAAAATCACTCCAATGGTGGTAATCAGTCTGTAATTCATGAGCACCAGTCGAATTAAGGCGAAAATAGCGGCCAACCTTAAGAATATAAGTGACTTCCTGCCTGGGCAACATTTGCATGACTCGGCTCTGTTTAAACGAGGGTCCTGACATGTACAAGCTTGGCCACCTGGCCCGGGGCTGCAATCTTCTCGAATACAAGAACAGATCCTGCCTCTGTTCGTGCATCTCATCCAGGAAAGAACACTTTCAATCTATTAGCGAAGCAATGTCATCTGGGTATGAGGGTTACCTGGCCAAAGAGAAATTGTCTTTGCACGGACAACTACCATTCTGCACACATACACATATCACTTGTTGAACTGTCTGAGGTTGCCCAGCCTGATGAGCTACCTGAGCTTGCACAGCTCCAACGACTTGCGCGAGAGTGTCAGCTTTAGCTTGATTGACTTCCTGGAGAATGTTGTCTTTAGTTTCATTTAATTTACTCTTCGCCGTATCGACCACAATCTGAACCAACTCCATCACATTACCATCCTCACGTTGATCGTAACTCGTTGAGTTTTCCTCAGATGGAAGGAGTCCTTCCGTACTCGAGGTTGCCATGATATTGGAAATAGTCTAACAGAAAACAAGATTCTTTCCGTGTGGCAGATATATTCGATCGTACAATGATCGCGTATAAGTACCTCCAACTTCAAAGACAAACCTGAGCAAATTATCTTATACCCTCGTAAGCCAGTCGGAACAGTGGCGTGATACTTATTACCTCAGTAGGTAATTATGACGAGCTTTTGCCTCAGCTTACAGAATGAACATATGAGGTTACACATCTTGACCATGGCTGAGTGGCAATCTGGGCAATTTTAACCCCACACGTTCGTATATTCGAAATACGAATAATATTCCTTTAGTCCGTCAGCGCACCTAAAGCCATAACTGGTAGGCTTGTCATATGACTAATGGACAGTTTATGAGCCGATATAATACTTATCTTACAGAATTAAATTGCTACGGAGGTTAAGTCATTAATTTACTAGAATACATGAGTAGCCAGGGGCGGAAGCCTCGGAGGTGACGTGCAACGAACAGTAATGGGCTATTTCCATCTTTAACCTAATTCTCATATCTTGTCCCCCGCTATAAACGGTATGTGGAGCCAATGAAATAAACCATGTAAGTCGCTGGGGACCTAGCTGGGGTGAACGGGGAAGAGTGGGTTGCGGATCGTTTTCATTTTGAGCACGTTATGCAGATGGTTCACAAGCTTTAAAGACTCGGGTAGTATCCCGATCAAACGACAACCAGTCACAAGATAGGTTGTGGGGCGGTCTAAGATGGGTTTCGATTCCTGGACAACATCTGGTGCAGGTCAGGTAACTTCTTCTGGTTTAATTCACAGATTGGTTTGCCCCTTGCAGAATCAGGCGCGTGATGGTTCACCGAATATATATTGACACGTCACTGGTGGCGACTTTGGTGGATGGGTAAGTGAAGAGATGCTCACTAAAGGGGTCCAATGTTCAATTTTTTAGATATACCTCGCACATAGCAAAACCCGCAGTGTCTCACCTTAAGGTATATGCCTGCCGTCCGTTCTGTATGCTACGGGCCAATCGCGAATCGTGAAGTATTTCGATACGATTATGGACGAAAGTCTGGAAACCTCAGACTTACCGGAACCAACATTCAACCCAGCTCCATCTCCATGGCATGATATACGCGCGCAGGTTTTTTTCTCCTTTGCAAGAGCCAACTGGGCAGATGGTCTGCCGCAGGGTTCATATGGTGATTTGGAAGCATCGGCCCCATTCTCGGATCCTGAAAAGAGTGGCAAATTCGAAGGAGGATTCAGTTTGTGCATGATAGTCCGGTATCTGGAGTCTCCTGTTGGTAGGCATTGGTCCTACCCATATCATGGGTGGGAAGAGGAAGTTCACCTTTTGCGGTTTTAGGGCCTTATGACGAAATCCTCTGGGCCCCAGGATTATTCCAAGACCCTCGCCATGGCGAATCGGTAAAGAGATACAGAATTACCAGAATATATGTGTCCTCAGTAGACTCGGTTTACAACGGTGCGAATCCTATCTCCCCATATCAGTCGATTACATGAAAGAGCTTATCTGAAACGGAAAATGTCTCACCAGGCCGAAGGAATTGGAATATACCAAAGACAGTAAGCACCCTTATTCTTTTTAGAGAGGGAATTAGTATGGTTCTTGGAACTCACTGTATATATCTGCTTCAGCTGGCCAATTTCGAATTCGTTCCGTCCAATTGCCCGCATCCACCGTATCGCCAGATCAGAGTCTCACACCCCGATACTCCGGAACAACCATTTGTTTCACTGGATTTCCAGCCTATCGCATTGACCTCGAGACCCCTTTTTCCGATCTCCACGAGCTATATTCCGATGAATCTTGAGATTGTGATGCCACCAATACCCGGGTCTGATAACTGGAGGGAAAATGGATTGGTAGGCAGCAACAATGATGAATGGAGATCGGTACAGGTTGACATATCGGGTAAAGCTGGTATGGTCAGAGTAGGAGGAGAGCTTGGTGATGGAGATTCATTCCCAAAACTGAACTGGAATGGATTGTGGTTCTGGTTGGATAATGCAAAACTGTCGTGCATGAACGTTGGGGAGTAACGACCAGCTAGATGGGATTAGTAGCCTATCCTAGTGTGTCAAGCGTGCTGCCACTCGGCCAAAATACCTTAGGTATTTGGCCGTGCCTCCAACCGAACATTAGGGCCAACATAGTTTACTAGGTTAGCTAGGGTACCATAGGTTTCTGGCTAAATACGACTGGTTCCAAGCGATGGCTATGCCACTCTTGATGAGCAGGGATTTGTACTAGAGGTATTATATATAACCGCTTTTATGGTAGCAAGCCCACCGCTAGACAGAGGGAGACGCAAGGCTCTCATCATGTCAGGGTCGACGTCGCTCACCCTTAGCGATTCGGTTTATCAAAGAGATGGTCAGTCTTAGTACTATGGTTGACAAACAAGACAAAACATATTGTGCTAGAATTTGGTGACTATTAGAGATATAATTATGTACAAGATATATGAAATACTCAATTTGGTTTCTACTAATACAGAGACAACTTTAAACTATGAAAAAAAAAGCTGTCTATCTCCATCTGGAGTGAAAAAGTAATTCCACTAAGCAAGGAATGGTTCCAATGGTAAACGCTGCTTAGTGCTGGGCAAGAATCTTAGCAGCAGCTTGCTCGGCAGCAACCATGATGGTGGCCTGGATGTTACCCGTTGGGAGATCAGGGTGCATACTGCCGTCAACAACATACTACAACAGTTAGTAAACCCTATATATAGAGATTTTATAGTCTAACTTACCAAGTTGTCCATGCCATACACCTTGGTGTTAGTGTCGACCACGGATGTGCCGTTCTTGCGTCCGTCGTCAGTGCCCATCTTGGCGGTGCCGACGTAGTGGTCACCAACATCTGGCGAAGCAAGGATCGCAGAAGTATTAGTGTTGCCTTGCAACTTGAATCCAGTGGATGGGTCAGTGATGTCGTACAACAGCTGGTCGATGAATAACTTCGCAGCAGTCCGGTCATCTGCAGTTCGCATGTATGGCGATTGCTCAATCACAGTATTGCCCTTCTCGTCCAGACCGAGGAGTCCGGCAGAAGTCAGACCATGGGTCATGTAGGCTTTGATCTCCACAACACCCTCGTCGGCAGTCGCACAGGATCCCTGGTAGTACCGGGTGTGTCCGTTGACCTGGTTCGAAGTGAAGAAGATCATGCGGTGTTTGCCCTGGGTGAGGACTCCGCTGTTTTGACGGTACAGGTTGATGTCAGTGGTAGCGGACCCATTGAGGAAGCCGTCGAAGTCGAGAGGAGCATAGTTACCACCGGTGTTTACATTGATGGTGAAGATAGGGTGGTCCATGAGTCCGACACCGACAGGCAGGTCGATCCATTCCTCCTGGGGTGGAACGGCGACGCCACTCTTCTTGGCCGTTTCGATCTGCTTCTTAGGGCCGATACCGGAGTTGAAGAGCAGTCGCGGAGTAGAGAGTGCTCCAGCTGCCAAAACCACACGACCATGAGGAGCAAGCATGACCACTTCAGTCTGTCCGGTGACGGCGTCAACAACCTCAACGCCAGTCACCTCACTGCCAGACCTCACAAGACGATTGACCTTAGAGTTAAGACGAAGGGTGAAGTTGTCGGCGTCCTTCACCAAAGGCAGATATGTACGAACAGGACCAGCACGCTTCTCATTGACGATGTTCCAGGCAGGGTAACTGTAGATTTGGTGCTTCTCATTCGGAGCCGCAATCATGTCGACCGACCTCCAACCCAGCTGGTTGAAGAATTTGGAGAGTACTTTGTAAAGACCTTGGTCGTAACGGTTGCCATCGGCCGAAGGTTGGGTCGTTCCGGGATTGCGCTGGTACAGACGCTCGGACGCCGGCTTGACATCCTCCCATTTCCATCCCTTGGGCCACTTGTCGTCGAAATCGCGCGCAGGGGGGTGGACAAAGACCATGTAGTTGACGGTGACACCACCACCCAACACGCAGGCCGCGATACCACCGGTGTCAGTACACATGTACTGATTCCAGACGTCCAGGTTACCAACATCGGCCGACAGTCCGGGAACATCGATCGGGGTCAAGGTACGGTTCCAGCTCAGCGTTTCATTGTTGCCAGTGCTCACAGTGGGACCGACACCTCGTTCGAGTAGAAGGACATTCTTGCCCGCTTCGGCGAATCTCTCTGCTGTGATAATTCCAGACGGACCACCACCAACAACAATATAGTCGTAGGTGTTGTTCTTCAAGGCGGAGACGGCGGAAAGCGACGCTGCCAAAGCCCCTACACGAAGGAACCGCATGTTGAAGGATAGATGCAGAAGTCAAAATGCCAAGAGATGAGAACTGCAAAACACACTGTAGAAAGTAGCGAACGTATTAATATATGATGCTGAGTGGCGTGGAGCCACCAGTGTGGATTGGTCATTCTTCGATTTTCCTTACTCAAAGGCTGCATCCGGGTAAGAGTTTTAGGACTCATGATGTTAATTGCCATGGATGGAGTCCACTCAACCCTTCCCATCTCCTTTCGTTTAGCCGATGTGAATTCCCTCAGGGACTCGAGGTTTTCTGCCAAATGGGGCATAGGATACATTCTTGACCCACTCTGACCACGGATATAGAAATGAAAGTGGAGCCAACTCTGCATTATCAATCAGCATATAAGCAGCTTGGCGATGCCGACTGTTTGCAGAATAACGCCAGAAGAAGGTGGGTCCGGGTCTTCCTGGTCGAATCACGGTAGTTGAGCCTCGGGACCAATCTCCGTAAATCCGTAACAAGTTAGCAATATAATTTATAGGATCACTGGTCTTAAGGAAATGAAACGGTTCTTCTCGCTTAGATTATTGCCAAGGCTTCGTCATCTGCCCTGCTCGGTTCGACATGGACGAGCTCAGGGTTTTCTAGTACCCAAGCTACCTACGGAGTATGAGGACATCATCCTACAGAACACCACTTTCAGCTCTGCTGTACAAACTACCCCGTAATCACTACATATCTACATAGTGGTCTTGGAACCCTGGAGTTTATCCGTGGTGGCGTTATTGAAAACCGATCTGGTCCGCCACAAGACCCACTACCACGTTTTCGTTCACCTAGGGCTCGGCATCTTGACACCGTCAAAGTCTAGCCCCTTTTATGTTTATATATTACGTACAAGTTGTCAATAATTCAGTGTATAGCGTTGAAGTTGCCTCTTATAATGGAGATCGACCAAGCATCTATATAATGGATTAACGTGCGTTCTGGAAGCATAGGGTCATATGATGCGCGACATTACCAACATGTCCCTGGGTCATATGGCCTAACTAGGTAATTATCGTGCTTTCTACTGGTGCTCCAATTTTGTGTCTAATACTCGGTTACGACATCATATGTATTGAATTTCTCCATGTAGAGCAGAAGACGGACCTTCGGCTCTGTATACGCCGTAGCCACCAGACCGAGCGTGAAGCTTGACGGTGGGCTCAGAGCTATTTTCGCTTCAATAGCAACTGTAAGCAAGTTCCTGTCTATGTCAATAAACGAGCTATGTTTGGTGTCGTCTGCTTCAGTATTCACGTCATTGTTGTAGTATGTCCTGGCCTAAAACCAGGTTCGCTCCGGCCGTGAAGTGGCAGCACATTCTGACTGGGGCTCTTTCATGTAGTATTGACAGCGAGTACTTAACACGCCCAGTGTTGCCATTGTTCCCTTTGCCTTCACTGCCTGCTAAATCGTGAAGTTTAGCAACACATAACGAATACAAATTGGCGAATGTCACAACGGCCTGGTCATCTCCGAGGTTAAAGGGACCCTGGCAAAGATCATAAAGGAATGTTCTAACAGTTATGATAACTTTTCGGAGGTTCTTGCGGCACTTGTCAGCTACATTCTTTAGCACAACAGGCTTCACAAAGTTCATGATGTTATTCTGGTTTATACGCCATGTGCATCATGTTCCTTTATACACCTAAACGGTGGGTCATGTGGAGGGCATGGCAAGCGAACCCGATATTATATACGGCATTCTACCGGGAGGGGTGTTAAATATTTCTGTATTGCCTCGTCTACGCGGTACAGCAATATTCTCAATGACTCCAGAGATACCGGTTTAGATCGGCCATGTAAACGCAATTCGTTTTTTTGTATAAGACGCCCACCCCTGGATCTTCCTGTCGTCTACTTATGAGCTTCACTTTGCTGATGAGGTGTCAGCAAGGCTTTCATCGTTTTTGATGAGGTAATGTACAACAGCAACAATAACAACAATAAGCACGCCCAGAAAAAGTTCGGAGTGCGAATGCTAAGCATCCTTGGCATATTTCAAGGGTTCTCTTAGTGGGATGCTCTGGATCTGGGGCCATGTTGGTGGCGCAGCTTGTGGTATTTGGTCCCCTGGGTCTTCTCGTGGGAAGCGCTACCCATATCCTAGGCTCCATATGAGTGATACAAAGCAATACTACAGGAAGCTATAGCCCTTTTCTCTTACCTATTCTTTATGAAATGATACAGCAATGATCAGACACTTGGTACGAGAACATCGACGGTGTTTACGATCGATTCTCTCGTAGCATTGTCCTGCGCAATAGATGTGTACCTTTTTTACCTAGGCGCGAATTTGACTCCAAATCAGCCATTGGCTAGGGAGTCACTTCGGGCCTACCCAGATCTACTGAGTTATGTTGTCGCACTTTTTCATATGTAGGCATCGTTCTGCCTACGTCTACTGTGGTACTAATACACCTTTCCAGCATATGTATATTCTATATTCGGTCTAAGTCGCTAAGGGTAGGAGATAGTAGGTTCGCAATAGAGAAGTTAACCCCATGTCTGAAATATAGACAGCCCAGTCTAGTAATATGCAACAGTGGGGCCGAGAGACCAACGTGCCATAGATATACCATAAGCGGCCAAATGGACATCGCTATATCAATCTTTACAGAAAAAGGCAAGAAACGAATGCCTATCAAGATCGCCATTAACCAACTTGCTTTTTCCCTTCACCGAGCCTCCACGCATATGATGTTTCCGAACAATCGACGGCTTCATGCCGTCAACCATATCTCCATTAAAAACATGAGAGGACTCGTCGATCTCAGTATCCTGGTAACAATGACATGCCTCCTGTGGCTGTTCCTGTGGCTCTCCGTCGTCAGACTCCGAGCATTCGCTACTGATATCTACCACTGGAGTGTCATCAGTTGCTTGTTTAGTTAGGTCTGGGGAATGGGGCATCTACACTCCTGGCCTTCGGCCTCCCGACGCCTGTTCATACTGGCAACGACCTTTGCGGGGATTATGCGATCGTCTTGGAAGTGGTCCCGTCGATCTTCTTCTATTTGACCATTACGCGTACGAGTGACTGTTGCAAGTCCTATGCCACGTTGGGGATCGACAGCCAGTTGGATCATTCGCTGAGCGAAGTTAGTAGATTCCAAGAAGTCTCTAACGGGGGTAACAGTCCGCATACGTCTTCATTATTGGAAGGACTCGGCCTTTGAGGTGTAGACATTTCCACGAAAAGATAATGGATATTATGTAATCCCGTAAGAAAGAATGAAAAGTGGCGAGTCCTTAAGAATGTGCGACAGGACGGTTTTCCTCATTCTTATATAGCTTATAAAGTCTCTAGGCGTGGGGGCGTGAGAGGCAGGAGGCAGTGGTGCCTGATTAGACAGGGATTATATCCCGAGGCTTTACAACCTCTCACACATCCGGGCCTAATACTGGTGTTTCATACATTTGACGGTGATATGCACCGGGCTTCGCTATCTAATACGTCAGAGCGTACCCAGTTCCCATTGGATAGGTACGGATATGAATCTCGTTTTGAGTTTCCTAGCTGCTTTAGTCTCTAAACGTGTGCTTCCCCATAACGTTCTAGGGATTAGTAAACTCTTCGAATTGGCACCATTTGTTGGCCACATTGTGATATGATATGTCAACAGGATCAGAGCGCACCATCACCTTGGTGATATGTAGGCCTCCCACATGCACTTCGTGTTTTGCCAATGTATCCCATTTCTCGCCCACACAATTTATGGTAAGCTCAGGTAACAGAATCAACGAGAGTGGGGCGTGACTGAAGTAGCGTAATCTCGCCGGCTGGTACGCTAATTTAGAAGGCGCAATTCCGTGGCCCCCGTCCGCTAGACGTGATAGTTCACGAGTCAGGTCAGGCGAATCCCGCATTGCCTACCCATTGAAATCATTCCGGCCATTCCGCGTGGAGGGACGTGGTATGGAGCTCGTGCAGCTTTCAACAATTTCCTCAACTCCACGGAGGCGAGGCCGAGGAAGAGACACTCCTCGAGGTAAGTAGACCTTCTTGTCGCCTCATTTCTAACCTGAATGAAGCACAATACAAGCACGTTTCTGTTACTGGCCAGTGCAGCCAGACAAAAGGTTTGACCTGCCCTTGGTATGATCTACACAACGAGTGCGCCGTTATCAAAGTTTGTCGAGTCCCGAAGCGCATGTCGGACCATTGGAGGGCGTGTGGCAGAAGAGTGCGTACTCACCGCGCCAGTCGCGCCAATCCTCCACACTAGTTAATAGGGTCAACCACTAGGTTCGCGTTCCAAATCTTCCGACTAGTCAATGTTGCCAATTTTCGGGTCCAGCCGTTCAGTTGTGCGGCGGAACCCCGCCCTGCCCTCTGACTGGGCCCGGTGGTATCGGGTTGATTTCACCAAAGGCTGAAATATGCAAACGAGCCTCTGTTGCCCTTGACAGTGGCACCACGTAGTTCTCGTTCTCCCCCTTCCCGGCGGATCGCCAGAGCAAGGCTGGCAAAATCATGCCTCGTTGTAGGAAGCGCCAATAGAATACTCCAGAATATGACGTGGATACGAGATACCGGAGGCTCAAAGTTTATTATAAAGTCAAGCCCACTTGTCATCCCATTCTATTTCTTGATTTGTCAGATGTACGTGCTATTGACACCAGTATGAAGCCAGCCGCATAGATCTGTTCTTGGCACTCTATTCTCGAGCATTGGGCACCGATCGTCATCCATAATCGTATTATCATATGATTTTCTCATTGTTGAGGCCGACATTGATGGTCCACGTGAAGGTGAAGGATGACTGACTGTCGTTTCTGATGTGAGGGAGGGTAAGACGAAGCTATCAGGCACATGAAAACTGGTAGAGATTCTACGATGCTAACGGAGAAAAGACCAACTGGCCAGGTGGTGGGGAAAGGGGGAAGGGGGAGGCTCGTTCCTGGAGAGCCTAGGGGTAACTCGAGCTATTGCCGGCCTTCCGCGGCCTCGTTGAAACCATGGGCCGAAGTGGGACCTTTATATTTCTACTCTGTTGTTCCTTCTCTTTGAGCGTTGTTATTGGGCCCATATGGTCAATGAACCCACGCTAACACCAGAGACCCACAGACTCAAGACAACTTTTGCTAATTTCAAGCTTAGCTTATCGAACGCCCGCAGGCGGAGGCGGTTATGTTCTACCAGACTCCCAGTGTCGTGATTTAACAATGCGTTAGCTAGCCTTACCATTCTCTTTGCCTCAAAAAACCATGGATCCTCGATATGCTTCAACTTCGACTCCACATATGACGTACATTGACGTAAATTCCACTACTTTGCACACAATATATATTTGTCGGATACAAAGCGCTCTTTACAATGCACCAAGGAACGTCTCAAGCAGAATATAAAGGGCGATACCCACATATATGATTATTGTATATCGAAATATTATATACATATATATATATCTCGTATTACAAACCTAATATTCTTTCGATTGACTACCTGGACTATTCGAATCTTGTTACACCCGGAGATTCGTCCAAGGATTCTGCGACTAAAACGTATCCTGGGAAGGGGCTGACTTACCACAATGATTACAGTCCACTAAGTGATCGGCTATAAGATGATGGGTGTCAAAGTCCGAGGTAAGGCCGATAATATTCCGTAAGATAACCAATCTAAGCCCGAATGGTCAGGTCTATTGAGGACATTTTCTTCAACATTCAGGATAGCGTAAACCCCGTTGATCTGGTACAGAAATACCAAATGAAGTGCTCTTATATAACCTAAATCGGATCTATTATTCTCATCAAGCATTGTATCTTGGTAACTCGTGGGCCCCTATTGGCTCCCCACATAGCATAGTGATCATCCAACTAGTAACCAGCAAATGTCTGTCTAACGTTCGATCAACAATCAGTTGTCCCACATACAACCATTCATCTATATCAGGGAGATAAGATAGATTATCGGACCGCGGACCCAGCTCCTGCCACTGCTGATGTCAAGAAGGTGCGCCTCATTGACAGCATAATCAGCCAACATATCAGAGACCGCCTTTTACAGAGTTGCTACCTGGGGATAGAGGATACTAGGCCAGAATGCAAGCCCATGTCCTATCGTCGTCCCCTCCCTTCCGCTCGTGCGAGGCGTCCAACCACTGTAAATTGTGCTCTGTGGTCCTCGTACGTTCCGCTTGCAATCCCTCTTTACACCCGATTATATAGATTTATACAACTTAGTGTTTATGATTGCTATGATTAAATACAGTTTGCTTCGGAACTATATCGAAGTGCTCGATTGAGGAACGTTGCGTATATTGAATCGTAATATTGGTACCTCCTTTGGATAATGGAGCATTTATAGAGATACTTGACCGTTCTTGTGATTTCTGGAGTTAGGATTTTGTATAGAATGAATTTGCATTGATAAGAATAGAGAGATAGGGTTGGGGATGGGCTCAGATACCCGCCGTACGGCAAGCCATTGCGGCCAACGCGCATGAATTCATTTTCCTATGTTTTTTAGGGGTTTTTAATCCTCTTTTCGTCTAGTTCTTTCACCGCTTAGTTGGCCGCCCTTAATTAGTTAATACCAGGTCTGAATCCTAATTGCTCCAGTAGTTTGCAGTCATATGACTATATAATTATACCAAATAGACTAGTAAATACACTACGTATACTACGCATACTACACAGACCAAGTAGACTAAACAGACCACACAGACTACGCAGACCACGCAGACTATGCAGATTAAGCAGACCAAGTAAGCAATTCAAGTAGATTCAGTATAGTAGACTATTCTGCCGGCAGAAACAGGTCTAAAATGTAGGAAAATGAATTAACGCGCGTTGGCCGCAATGGCTTGCCGTACCCGCCGTGGGGCCGATGTCATGTGACAGACCGTGGAATTGCAAAGTGAGCCGCCCGGTCCCAATTTGCTCATCATCTCCCAATTCACAGAGTTGCCGGCAGCGCAAGCAGCGAGCATGCCGCCTGTACGGAAGCAAAAACCAAAGGACCCCAAAGAACAGGAAGAACAGGAACGAAGGATTCAGGCAGCAATTGCAGATATCAAAGATGGTAAATGTTCTTCCGTACGGGAGGCAGCTAGGAAATATGCAGTGCCGTCAACCACTTTACGCAACAGGATGAATGGGGTTACCTGTCGGTCTCACAAATGGGCGAACAGTCATAGAATGACCCCGGAAGAAGAAGAGTCACTAGTAAAATGGACCTTATCAGCAATTGAACAACATCAAACTGCCCCTTCGCGATCGGAGATCGAAGAAATGGCCAACGCCATTCTCGCCAAGCGGGGCACTACAATAACTGAGACCGTCGGTGAAAGTTGGGTACACAACTTCCTCAAAAGACGAGAGGAATTACGAACAGTTTACCCTCGGCGATCCTATTCTCGCCGGATCTATAATACAGTCGTCGGTGATGCCAACGTGTCAGCTGGGTCACCCTCGCTCAATCCGGACTGTGAAACAGGCCAGCCTAACAATCAACGCAACCCCCTTCCACCACCTAGGAGTCGAACGGCCGTTCCGGATTTAGAATCATTGGACAATTTGCGGCAATTGGACACGCAAATTTCCACGTTCAAAGAATTGGTTGCCAACGAGAAGGATACATGGGACCCTTACACGCAAACTGTCATAGATAAGCTCATCAAGGGATGCCAATTGATTATAGAAAGTAGTTCTGGTCTTCTTAAAGAAGCCCGGGCCCTACGGGCTGCTCTTGAAGAGGGGCGGTAATGGAGGACCGTTTTACTCGTCCTTAGTTAACTATCGTTATCCTATGATTCTCTGTCTTGTGTCCGTACTCGATAGGGTACGCTAGGCAAGGGTCTATAACGATAGACTTGAAAGACCTTGCCGATGTGATATCCCCAACAGGCTCATGGCTAGTGAGAGGCATCACGCACACAGAATAAACTTGCGATCAAGAAGCTCAACGTGAAGAGAATCTCCGAGAGAGAAAAGGAGGCGTTCTTTGGGAAGTAACATTGATACTTTCCATATAACAAAGAACCCGATGATAGAGAGGATTGTGGCGGTCATAGATTCCCTGAGCAGAGAGGATGATGGGCCACTCCTTTCTATTTATGTCCAAATACGCAGGATCAGGACAAGTACATTCTTCTGTTAGGTTTCTTGAATCGTTCTTATAACACCATATGACGTCCAGTCTGCATAAGTTGCGCAAATGCGAATGAACGTCGGTACACTATA